TTTTTTTTTTTTGGCTTTTGCTAACATAGAAACAGGTCCACCTCTCTTCTGACTTTCCTTTCTCTTACAGAATTTAACGGGCATGGAGACTCACGTTCTTCAGATTTGGAAATTTTTCTTGTATTAATTCTTTGATTGCCTCATTTCTATTCCATCTCTATTCTCTCTTTCTGAAATCCTATTTCAATTTCATACCTCCCGGTCTGATCCTCTAATTTTCTCATCTTTTATTTATTTTTTATTGCATTTTCTTTTTGTATTTTCTTGAGAGATTTCTTCACATTATTTCCCCAACCCTTCTACTTACTTTTTTACCTTTCTATTATAAAAATACTTAAGATCTCTTTATATTCTCTGAGTATTCCTTTTATATAGCTGCAATAGGAAGCTAGGTCATGGGTGTAGTCTCCTATTTCTCTGAAGAAATTAATTATAGTTTTTTGGGGGGAAGTTTGATGTTCTTTTCAAGGTCTCTGTTCCTTGGAGTTTCTTTTGTTCCATTTGTTATTTTGTCCTTGGTGTAATAGGTTTTCTTAAATGTCCAGTAACCCTAGCCTATCTACTTAAGATGAGGTAACTATGAGCTGACTGGAAGTTCCATGGATGGCAGTTATTGTGAAGTGGTTTTATATAAGGTGATCAGGAGGAGATCTATTATATGAATTTTTTTTTTCTCTTGAGGCCAACCCGGTCCCTTGCCTTTGTGGAGCTCTGTTAGGGAAAGGAGGACACAATTTACTGAGTGTATTTTCACGTAACCATTGGTGAGATGAGCTCTTTTGTTCCCACCAACTGTGACTGATTCCAAGGTCTCTCTTGGTTTACTTCTCCAGCAAGAAGACCTCCAGGCTATGGTCAGGAAGTAGGAAAGCTCTAAAGATCCAACTGTCTCTCTTACAAACTTTCAACCAACTCTCCATTTTCCCCTACCTTCACTGCTGCCTCAGAAGCTGCCTGGAAAATTTCTGTGCTATAGACAGTTTTTAGCTTTCTCTGGCATGCAAAGTCAACTATATGTTTGCCTATCTGGTTCTAGCTTCCAAAATTTTATTGATTCCTTCTCTGATATTGTCTTCTATCCTCTGGTCTTTGTGGATTTGAGGTGTTTTTAATTTTTTTCTCTTCTATTTAATGCAGTTTGGGGAAGAGAGGCAAATGTGTATGTTCAATTCATCCACATGTGTTCCCTGGGCTCCGTAATTCGTGTTTTTCACTTGATAATAGATCTCAGAGGTCAAGAGTAATTCCAAAGCCTGGCTTGGTCGGTGTTGCCACCTTTCAAGCCCCCTATTCTTTGATATGCGCAATTGATGAATTTTTGACAAATGGCTCTTCTAAGGAAACTTTAACTCATGTCCACCTCCAAAATGCAGTAACCTCTAACTCTCTTTAAAGAAACTTTGAGGGGCACCTGGGTGGCTCAGTCGGTTAAGTGTCCGACTTCGCCTCCAGTCATGATCTCACGGTTCATGAGTTCAAGCCCCACGTCGGGCTCTGTGCTGACAGCTCAGAGCCTGGAGCCTGTTTCAGATTCTGTGTCTCCCTCTCTCTCTGACCCTCCCCCGTTCATGCTCTGTTTCTCTCTGTCTCAAAAATAAAAATAAACATTAAAAAAATTTTTTTAAAAATAAAGAAACTTTGAATTTCTGTTGTTAGGAATTTTTACAACTCAGAAATATAGGTCTACCTCATTCTTAAAAGGGCTGTACTCTAATAAATTAATAGACTGACCAGTTCTTCTATCAAAGGATATTAGGTTATTTTTAGGAATTGCTGTTACAAACAACATGGAAATGAACATCTTTATCATCATCTAGGATTATGTTTGATGGAATATTTGTGGGCTAAATTACTACAGGTAGAACTGCTGTGTCAGTCTATGTAGTTTAAATTTCTCGTTGATTTTAATACTTTCCGTTCTAACTCCAGACACATTATTATAAAAAAATGTGCTGGAAATTTGACTGAAGAATAACAACCACACAGAACCTCACAATTTACAATTTAGCTTTCTCTGGCATGCTAAGTCAACTGTAAGTCTGCCTATCTGCTTCTAGCAGATACTACCTGAGTGCCAAAATGAGAAGCAGACCATATTATAGGTAAATGGAGGGGGGGTGTTTTTGACAATTTTCTTTCCTCACTTAGTTCCCGAAGAACAGGATATGCTTCACACATCATTATTATAATATTTACTGGGCTATCATTATCTTTCTTGCCAAAAAGAAACTGTTGAGCTAAATAATAAGGTACAAGAGCCTCAGGGAATTGACAGACTTAATTCATCCGTAGGGGTGCCTGGGTGGCTCAGTCAGTTGAGCATCTGACTCTTGGTTTTGGCTCAGGTCATAATCTCATGGTCCATGGGTTTGAGCACCACATTGGGCTCTGTGCTGACAACATGGAGACTGCTTGGGATTCTCTGTTTCCCTCTCTGCCCCTTCCCAGCTTGTGCACTCTCTGTTTCTCAAAAATAAATAAACAAACAAACAAACAAATAAATAAATAAATAAATAGTATTTTAAAAAAATGTTCATCTGTAGTTGTTAATCTTCTATGGGATTTTGTGTTCCTGAATGGGGCCAAAGTTATAACATTTTCATAATAGTTCACATGGTATGAATTATTTTCTTCTAATGGTCACATTTGATTTGATTAGTGATGCTTATATTGTTATATAGGGTTCCAGGGTATTTTTGAAGAGCTTAATCCTGAAATACATATTTATTTGTTGGGTAAAGTCTTTTCAGGTTTTGAAATCAAAGATGGATGAAGAAAATTGGTTTTGGAATAACTGAATTTCTAGTGAACAGGAAATAAAGTCATTTTCCAAGGGAGATGCCAAATGTAAAGTGATTAAATTATATTTACATGAAAAAAAGTAAAATTGCATGTGACATTTTCTGTTGTTCACATGGCCCATGGGGACAGGGTGAAAGTCAGCTACTGGCCCTGGCACACAGTTCAGCAGGTTGCAAAAACAAAAGCTTGTCCTGACACCAGTATCTTCTTTGGCAATTCATTATGAATCAGTATTAGATGCCAATGAAGATAGGGAATCGATAGAAAATATGATGTGCCCTGTCTACCTACTGAAGTGGTTGACATCGTTCTTCTTTGTCTACTGGAAATTTTTTAAGCTATGAATATAATAAAATATGCATTTTTAATTTTTTGCAGGCTAAGTGATTAATGGACAATGTTCCTTTAGCAATAATAAATCATCTTGTTCTTCCTGGATTTGAGCAGGTATTATCCAGAGACCAGCACAATCTTGAGTTGGATGTACCAGTAGAAGCCTTTTTCAAGAGTACTTGCCAGAGTGTGAATTGATTATAGCTATGCAGGAGCAACTATACAGCAATGAACAGTGAGAATCACTAAGGATATAGCAGCTTAAAAATATCTGGGGGCATTATGTTTGTCAAAATACTGCATTGGCCTGTGTTATAACTATCAAAATATACTTAAACAAGAACAAGTTTTACATTACAAAATATTAACAGTTGAGGGATTTGTATATCAGATCCTCTTGGCTCCCCTTGTTCCCCAGCTGTTGGCCATTGATCTGCCCCAGCTGAGATGGTAACTAACTTCATGAAAGCATAGTCTATTGGCCTGCACCTCCTATGCCCATGCTGTGTGCCTCTCACCTCTTGATTCTGGGCTTTTCTGGCTGAGACATGCAACATGGTGGGGCCTGCCCAATGCCCACACATGAATAGCCCAAGACAACAGGGGATATTAGCCATCTGAGAGAAGACTTTTTACTCAATCCTAAGAGATAGGAACCAGTAAATCATCTTCTCCCTTCTTGCCGCTGGACAAACTACCCTAAGAGAGTTCATATAGCTAGCTTTTTGAAGGTCTTCTTTTGAGAGCAACCAGTTGTTCCTGACACCAAGCAACAGTCAGTTAGGACAAGTGGTCAGTCTGGTAATGCACCACCTCATATTTGATCCATTCTTTCCCTGTCTCCTTCCTCTTTCCTATCACCCCTGATTTTCTGGTATTATATTTCCTAATAAAGTGTTAGCTTTGGTCTTAGGACTGTTTTCTAGAGAATTCAGGATATTACAAATCAAAGTGCTGGGAGAATCTGTCTGTGGGAGGATTTTCTTTGTTTTCAGGGTCACTGATACAGTTATTTTTATAACAAACAAACTTTGTGACAATAATAAATCTTTCTCTCATTTACAGTTTGTTTGTTTGTCTCTCCATCAAACAGACTGGCCATCTGGCAAACTGATCTGTGAATTGACAAGATCTGAAACTCAGGAAATCAGGCTAAGCCTCCAGCTTCAGGGCATTAACAACTCCTGTTTGCTTCAGGAAAAGCCACAGGATCCAAGGTATTGAGACCCAAAACTGCTTTTCTTTGGGCTTTGTGCCTCTGAGATCATGTTGGTATTTGATCTGCTTTCTATTGAATGCATTTGAAGTTTTCTCTTCAAGACAGTAAACATTGACCGCATGTCAGCAAGGATCAATTTTCAGCAGACTTAGAGGAATTAATGGCAGAAGAGTACTGGAACTAAATCAATGGATTTGCTGAACATTTTCCATGAATATATATTACCTTGTAAATCAAAAGAAAAGAAACACTATGTTTTAAAAGACTAAAATAAATTGAAGAGACTATAACTGGCTCTTACCAGGTCCCAGTTCCCAGTGGCCCAGTGACAACAAGGATGGCTGTTGCAGGGTGCAGTGGATGTGGGCCTTTTCGTCCAGTCACAGAGACCTCCTAGACAAATCACTCCTCTCTCCTGAACTCCACCTCCACAGGACCTGGAACACTGATATATCACAGGGACGAGGTTAGGTAAAGATCGCATGGTGACATTTTCAGTGATAAGAGAAGACCTTTTTATTATCATTTGTGTTGCGTACAGGATTAAGAATATTAGTATATATATTGGAATCCGCAACATATATGCCAGGTTCCTCACAGTGACCAAATGGCAGTGGTGAAACAAAACTTAGAGAAAGGAGATTGAAAAAGGACATTCTAAGGATATGAGGAAGAGAAAAAAAATCAGAAGATGCCAAATAGTTCGATGGAAAATAGTATGCCAAACAGAAGGGATATTGGTTAAAAACCTAAATGAGAGGTCATGGCAGAATAGACATAATGTTATTTGCATTTTGCCTTCTGGCACAAATATCTATAAACCAAAATGTAAAATGTAGATGTTTTTCTTGTGACTAGTTGACAGTCCAAACAGGGACACATTTGCAATACGATTATGTTAATCTCCTCTTACGATGGGATTCAGTCTTCCTTACCTACTACATAGAACTTTAGAACTAAATATGTCCATATCCAGAATAGGGAAATTGATGGGTTTGCCCAGGGGTCTGATGCATTGGCTGTCATGCTCACAAGATAAATTTGAGACGACAGGCTGGATTCCTAAAGGGATACAACTCTAAAATGTGTCAGGTTTTTGCTCACTAGTATAATTTTATAAGATCTATTGTCTCATTTTCATAAGGTTTCTAGGAGGAAATTACATAATCCATCAAGAATCTTTGAAAAATACTTTGAGGGGCACCTGGATGGCTCAGTCAGTTAAGCGTCCAACTCTTGGTTTCAATTCAGGTCATGATCTTGTGGTTCATGATTTCAAGCCCTGTGTCAGGCTCTGCACTGTCAGTGCAAAGCCTGCTTGGGATTCTCTCTCTCCCTTTCTCTCTCTGCTCCTACCTCACTTCTGCATGAGCTCTCTCTCTCAAAATAAAGAAATAAACCTTTAAAAAAAGTACTTTGAGGGATGCCTGGATGGCTTGGTCATTGAAACATCTGACTCTGATTTTGGCTCAGGTCCTGATCTCATGGTTTGGTTGGTGAGATCAAGCCCCACGTCAGGCTCTGCACTGACAGCATGGAGCTTGCTTGGGATTCTCTCTCTGCCCCTCCCCTGCTCTCTCACTCTCCCTCTCTTTCTCTCAAAAATAAATAAACATGAAAAAAAAATTTTTTAAAGAACCTTGAAAAACCTTTATTGTATGGTAACAACAACAACAAAATAATTATGGTTGCCAACATCTCCCCCATTATATCAGGCATGACATATGTGGTGGTACCATAGGAAACAGGGTAATTACATATAATTAACCCTTTCTGTTCAATAAAAGAACTAAGCTATTGATTTCATGGTATTCCAACTTTGAGAGTCAACATAGATTTTTCCCATTTATTCTATCTCTTTTTAATCCTATCTGAGGAGAGAAGGGAGGGATTCCCCCATTGGAGATCATTCTACCTACACGTGTACATATAGATTCAGGGCCATCTGGCCAAGTAATATCTAGGAAAGGAGGTGAAGAAAGTGTAAACCAGTGATTCTCCAAGTGTGGTCTCCAGACCAGCAACTTCAGCATCTTCTAGATACTTGTTAGAAATGAAGAATTCAGGCTCCCCCCCCCCAGACCTCCAAACTAGACACTCTGGGAATGGGGTCCAGCCATCTGTGTATTAAGAAACCCCCAGGTGATTCTGAAGTGAGCTAAAGTTTGAGAACCTCTGGTGTAAGGACATTCTCACAGCTGAAATGCCTCTTCCATGCAGGCAGTATGGGCTGGCTGACATACCAAAGGGGCCCACAGTCTCATGATGGCAGTCTGCTAGAGAGTGTGTATAGACAAGGCAGCATGATGCATCAGGGAAAGCACCTAAGGATGCTCAGACCCTCAAAAGCTCAAGAGAAATATTTTTGCATTTCCATGTCCTCTGCTTCCTCAGAGGGAAGTCTTCCAACTGTGTGGTTTACTCAGAACAGAATACTACTTTAGAAAGGAGGGTCTGGGGAGACCTTCAGGGAACAGTGTCTGATTAGGGCTCCCAGAAGCTACTGAGGAAGCATAAAGAATACATCTTTTTCATAACCAGAAAGCAGATCTGATTGCTCATCTTTAAAAACCTGCCAATGCCGTTTCTCTGACAAGGCGATCTAGGCTCCTCTGCAAATTCCTGGATTCTGAAAGCTGTATAATGATTTTGAAGGCTCATTATACGTGGAAGTCTTAGAGGCCTCAGTCCAGAGCATGGGAATAGCAGGCACTTTATATGCCCCAGAGCTGAGCAGGTAAGAAGGAGAAAGAGGGGACAGGGGCTGCTGCCCTCCCCACCCCCCAACCCCCAAACACCAGGTATTGGCCCAGAGCCTCAGGAATAAGTATGGCTGCTTGACATTGTAGGCAGTAAGTAGCTGTAGGGGGCTCAATCTTCTGTAAGTTTTGACTCTAACTCTGTGTTCTACAGTTGTAATTCACTACCTTCCTTTCCAGGGCATGTGGAAGGTTTGGTTTCCTCCAAAATAGTTATTGATTCACTCGTCCTCCTTAGTTTACTCTTTGTTCAGTGCTTATTGAATTAATGTCTATGGTAGAAAGCACACTGGCACTGGAGTCTACCTTATGCTTAAACAAATACTCCCCCATTTATTTTCTAGTTGTGTGACCTCATGTAAGTTTCTTAACCTCCAAGTCTCAAGTTCTTCATCTATAAAATGGAATTAATAAAGCCTACCATTCAGATTGTTGTGAAAATTAAACCAAGTATTGGGAATGCAAACTGGTGCAGCCACTCTGGAAAACAGTGTGGAGGTTCCTCAAAAAATTAAGTGAATCTGCCTATGACCCAACAACAACACTGCTAGGAATTTGCAAGGGATACAGGAGTGCTGAGTGCATAGGGGCAGTTGTACCCCAATGTTAACCACTTTCAGCAATAGCCAAATTATGGAAAGAGCCGAAATGTCCATCAACTGGTGAATGGATAAAGAAATTGTGGTTTAGAGGCGCCTGGGTGGCGCAGTCGGTTCAGCGATCTGACTTCAGCCATGAGTCCACGATCTTACGGTCTGGCGAGTTCGAGCCCCGCGTGAACTCTGGGCTGATGGCTCAGAGCCTGGAGCCTGTTCGATTCTGTCTCCCTCTCTCTCTCTGCCCCTCCCCGTTACTCTGTGTCTCCTCTCTGTCCCAAAAATAAATAAACGTTGAAAAAAAAATTTAAAAAAAGAAATTGTGGTTTACTTACACAATGGAATACTATGTGGCAATGAGAAAGAATGAAATATGGCCTTTTGTAGCAACGTGATATGGAACTGGAGAGTGTTATGCTAGAGTAAAATAAGTCATATGAAAGAAAGACAGATATCATATGTTTTCACTCTTATGTGGATCCTGAGAAACTTAACAGAAGACCATGTGGGAGGGGAAGGAAAAAAAAAAGTTAGAGAGGGAGGGAGCAAACCATAAGAGACTCTTAAAAAGTGAGAACAAACTGAGGGTTGATGGGAGTGGGAGGGAGGGGAAAGTGGGTGATGGGCATTGAGAAGGGCACCTGTTGGGATGAGCACTGGGTGTTGTATAGAAAACAATTTGACAATAAATTTCATATTAAAAAAAAAAAGAAAATTAAACGAAGTATGGTAGGTAAAATGCTTAGCCCATAGACACACTCAAAATATGCTGGGTTCCTTTTTTTCTCTTCTTTCTACCATGCATGGGTATGGTTGGGAGTTTTTTGTTTGTTTGCTTTGTTTTGTTTTGTTAGCTGTTGAGGTATTTGCATATTGGCGAATAAGATTATTATACTTCACCAAAGAACAGTCACTTTGTTTTCATGTGGTGAAGTAGGACAAAGACCCAGTAGAGCCTGGGCCCTCACAAAACAGAGGACATACAGACAGGCACAAGCACACTTCCTTTTATTTGTGTAAACAATGATCTGGGCATTCAACTGAGAAGTGGAACTCTAAAATAAACTGTGTGTGGGAAGGACCTGACCAATACCCCCAGTTCAACTGCAGAGGCCTAGGAGAGAGGCATGTGAGGCTCTGCCCTAAATGACTTTCATCAGAGTGGTCCATGTACATTTCCCCAACATGAATCTCAACTCCCCAGTATGTCCACTGGGAGACTGGGTTGTAATAAAACACTGAATTATCACGCTTGAAACCACCAATTGTTGTGGCCTGTTGACCTGTTGTTGTTGTTGACCTGTTCAGCCTTCTCCACACAGCATTAGGCCACTGAATGGAGGCCAGTCATTGCCACGACGCACGCGTGGTCTTCCCTGACTTCTAGTCTCACATGGTAACACAGGGATTCACATTTTCCTGGTTGTGTGGATGATGTCTCTGGAGGCCATACCTGGCTCCAGGGCTCCACCTGCCACTCCTCACAGGGCTCCATGTTACAGCTCATGCTCAGTGGGGGAGGAATGCCGGCCAGGAACTGGCAGTGAAATGGCCTCAGGCTCCGGTGGTCCCGGCTGTCCACACATTGAATCTCCCGGATCTGGAAGCCCCCGCTGCAGTTTCTGGAGCACTGCATGGAGAGGGAGAGAAAAGGGGATACTTGAGTCCCTGGTGTCAGGCTTTGGATCCTCCATATCCCAGGGAGTTTCTCAGAGAGCCGTGAAGTTCCAGGGTTCCAGCCATGAAAAAGGAGTAAGTCTAGCTCAAGTGTACTGTTTCCCTCACAGGCCCTCTAGAAGGAATCACTCAAACAGCTCCCAAAGATGGGGCTCCCCATGTCCGAAAACACAGGCATGGCAATGTGAGAACCAGGTGGCGAGTCCAGTTCTGTCACTCACTTATTGTGAGATGTTGGGCAAGTCACAGAAAAATTCGGAGCCTCAGGTGTCATATCGATAAACTGGGACAATAACTGTCATCTCACAGCACTGTCGTGAAGGTCACAGACACTGGGGTTGGGTGCCTGCTGGTGCAGTGTGTGCCCCAGTAGGCAGCCATTCCCTCTGGTGTGCATTCATCCGGGGTGAAGGGGAACTCTCGGCCAACCCACACCCATCCGCCCTCAGAATCCTGCTAAAAACCTGTTTTCTCCACGACTCTGAAGGCAAGATGGGTTATGCTTTGTCATATGAAGGGCTGACATGAGGGAAGTAACTGGAATACCTAATCAGTGGTTTGATTCCCAGAAGTGAGCAAACCCTGGGTTTGTCCCTACCACCCTCCTTCCTCCTGTAGCTAACATCACCTGCCTTCGTCACTGAGAGTTTGCTCAGCACAGGCCCCCTGAAAGCCATTACAAGGCTCTCCTCACTGCCCCCCTCCCCCATGCCCACACCTTGTGTAGCAGCCCCGGCATCCTGCTCAGTCTCAGGTCACTGCAGGGTGCTGACTCCTTAAAATCATGATCAACACTGATGCGCCAGCATCCCCCAAACCAGGGTTTACACAGCCGATACTGAAGTAGACCTACTCTCTGACCTCTTGGATTTTGGAAGCTATTCCATCCTCCACCTAGATTTTACTTGATCATAACTGGAGCTTCCAAGACTTGGTCTCCAATCTCTTTAGAATGCTAGTGCCAGCCGAATCCCTTCTGTTCATCTTGCCCCCATCTCTTAGTCTCTCCTGATCCTGTCCTTGCCTGGCCTGTCTTGTCACCCTCCACTGTCAGGTAGGGACTGGAGGTAGGAAGGAGGGGACCCCTGTGCTCCTCAGCCTTTTGCCTCCAACCTCTCTGTGGGTTAACAGTACATCCCCGTGGTCTTTATGTCCTGAATGTTTCTCCCTCTACTCTTTACATTGTGCGCTACTGCTCTTCTTTTAGACCTCAGCTTAGATGTCATCTCCTCAGAGAGGCCCTCCTGGAATGCCTTTATCCGAAGGAGGCTCTCTTTCTTGTAATTTCTCTCTGCTCCTTGTCCATTTCTATCACAAGAACTTGAAATGTGGAACAATTTTTATTCATTCTGTGTGTCCTTTCTCTTACACTCTCACTGCCATGAAATCAGACCCCTATCTGCCCTGGTTCCCACTGTGTCCCAAGCATCTAGCATGGTGCCAGGCACAGAGGGTCCGTACAGATTTGTTGAGTGCATATATGAATTCCGAGGGGGTTTCTAAGTGGGCTAAGGAGACCCTGGTCACTGCAGCGATGAAGAGCACCTTTAATCTCCCCATCCTCCCATCTAGGATCTCATTAGCTTGGCTAAACTTGGCTGAGAAAATGCACCAGCAAGAAAGTGTGTGCATTGCTGTAAGGTATCTGGCCCCTCTCTACACGGTGAAAAATGGTGCTCTTTCTGACCATGGTGGAAGAGTCATAACTACAGAGTTTGGGATTGTGAAAGAAAATTCCTCAAACTTTCAGTAGAGGTACACCCCAAAGACAGTTCCCCCTTCTTCCGCCACCTGCAGATTGTGCTAAGTCACCTGACTTCGAACCTTGGGCTGTAACAAGGAAAGATGCTGGCCCATGCGACAAGGGACAGACTGAGGCTCTAATGCCACCATAAATTGAGTGTCCAACTTCTTAGAGATAAACAATGCTTGCCAGACAGCACCCCTCCCCAAAGAAAAACAAGCCGATAACCTCACTTTCCTGCCATGTAGTGAGTACACAAAGGAAAAAATAACTGTCAATTTGAAATCAGCCACAGAGCAAATGAGGGAGCCTGCTAATAATTTCCACACAAAGAGGTCATTTGTCTGACCAAACAGATTTCTGGGAAATAGCACATGGTGAAGTAACAGGATTCTTTATTAGGACAAGGGAGTTTTATAAGACGTTAATTATAAAATTGGATTTTATTTTCCTATTTTTCATTTGTTGCTGCAATCTATTATTCCTAATTTAATTTTCAAGCTAGCATTACCCCTTTTGTTAGAGTATTCACATTCAATGGGAAATAAACTTTATTAATATGCTGAAGTAAATAATAAGGGAAGACACTCACTAAATCTCTGACTTTTCGGTTCCATTTTCAAAACAGCCTCTGATTCAGTTAGCAAGAGAGAAGTGGCAGGATATTAAATCACTCCACTTCTAATGCTGTTTTGCCTTATATGCTGATTGCCAATTATTACATTAATTTTTTTACAGCCTTAGAGGAGGGTAATTTGTATTAATGTTTCCTCACCTGGAACCTGTAGACTAGACTGAGGACCGGAGTCAGACTAATGAGAACAGAAAGCCTGGCCAACACCTTATTGTGACCAAACAGGCCTGACTGTTTTCTAGTTATGGCATCAATTTAACTAGTGTGATCTGCAGACCAGATAGAATGAAAAATACCCTTAGCTTATAAGAGCCACTGGCAGAGATATGAAATGAAAGCACAATTCTGTGATTCTCCCTTGTGGTGTTTCTGATTTGTGGAGTCATCCTGATACCCTTTACATGTTGGACTCATACAGAGTGCTCAGTCGAGTATAGAGGAATTAGTGAGCATAGCATTGGGAGAGCAGTAGGTTGCACTCAGGTGTGACCCCAAGAGCAAATAGCCACCTGAGTTCACATGGATTAATCACTTCTCTTCTCTCAGCTTCTGTTTCTCCATCAGTATGGAAAGGAAAATAAACTAGATGATTAAACTATCCCAACATTCTAGAGGGGTATACGTGTACGGGATCGCTGCATTTGTATTCTGTTTTGATTTCAGAATACTTTCTTGCTTTCCAAGTTGAACCAAATACTAAATTTGGATACAATTTTTTCTCCTGTTCCTTTACTTATGCTGAACAGATTCACAAGACCCTTAAGATTAAATAATTCATTCCAAAAATTCTAAGTTGAACAGCATGAAAATTCATCCTTCTATCTCTTTCCCCCCTCTCACCCCAACTTTTCTTCCTCCCAGTTATTGGGCACATCTATGTTTCAGGCTCTGTATTTCTAGCAGGTGGGAAGAGTTACATAAATGAGTAGAAGGAATAATGATTATATTTATATATAAAGATTACCTCATAAGTTGTTCATGATCTAGTGAGGGCACAATGGAGGATATGGTCAGTTTCACCTAAAGAGGTCAGGAAAGGACTAAATAAAGGAGCCAAGTTTTGAGCTGAAGCATATAGGATATGTAGATGCTCGCTCAGCCAGCAAAATAGGGTGGGGGGTATTCAAGGTGGAAAGAATGGCATGTATGGAGGCACAGTGCTATGAAACAACGAAGCTTGTTTGGGAAAAGTGCATTAATCAGAATGCTAGGGTAAAGAGTGGGAGTGGACAGATAGAGAGAGACGGGCAGGGGCCATCATGGAGAGCCTTGTGGTCTGGACATCAATCCTCAACTAGAGTGGTCTTGGGTTCATGTTTTCTGTGGTCCTAAATGCTTCTATTTCTTTGCCATTCCTTTATTTTCTTTTTAGGGGACCCTTAATCTAAAATATTCCGGGATGTCAAGAGAAGGTGACAGTTCAGACATATAACATATTATACCAAGAATAAAATAAATGCAGTGATTTTCAGTATATGATGACCTTCCTGCTACTCAACTTTTGCTTTCTGGGGACAAAAAATCCCTTAAAACATGCAATTCCATGTTTTCACGTTTGCATATCAGAGTTTAATATATGTTACTGGGAATATTTTATATATCAAAGTTGGGGATGGTCTGTATTTAGCAAAAAAAGGAGCTCTTCCCCTATTAAATTCATTTCTAAAAATTCAGATGTAAAAAAAAATGTAGAACCATCATTGACAATCTATAAAATCTAATAAACACAAAGGCAAGAAGTACAGTAAGACAAAAAGACTAGCAATATACATGAAACACAAGACCATAAAGAAAGGCTGACACTTTCTCTTATTTTTCAGCAAGTCAACTACCGCTAAAATAAAATTGCAACTGTCCCTAGGTGGGAAGACAGAACATTCCAAGAAAAAATGTAAAACTGTTTCTGATTCATTTCAGAAATAATATCTGTTAGACTTAACCATGAAAAGGGAAGTGCTTGTTCTCAGAAAACAAATAAAAGGGATGTCAAATCACCAGTTTACAAAACTTCAGAAGGTGCAACCATCAAGATGTTCCATCGGGCGGTGAATGGAGCTGTGGATGATGCATCGCTCTAGGTGTCAAATGCACCTGAAGGTTTTTCAAGCCCCTTTTGTCACTTCTGCATTTCTTGCATCGCACACTTTTTTTCCTCATACAAATTTTAATGCTCTGAAATTGGCATGTTTCTTACAACTGACGTACATATTTATTGTGTAGTGTTCTCTTTCTTTATGAAAAGCTGTCATAAAATTGATGCATCCCCCAGTGGATGTTTCTTAAAACTGGGAGCATTTGGTAACAGCTGTGTGATCAAACGTTAGTGATTTAAGCTCTGAGCTTTTGTTGCCTCAGTGGGAATTATAAAGAAGGTCCTGTGCTGGATGAAAATGGAACTGATTATCTAATGCTTTTGTGTAATGTCAGGCACATAGTAATATTTGGCGAGTGTTAGTGCCCAAGGTAGGTCAAGTTCTTCAAAGTTCATGGACACCAAGCACCTTGTCCGCTTAGTACTAAGGAGTGGACACCTGCTCAAGCCAGTCATTCTGTTGACAGAACTTTCTCCACTGTC